TCAACTCCCAGAATTCCCCAGCCAGCCATGCTGGCTGGGGAATTCTGGGAGTTGAAGTCCACCCATCTTCAAGTGCCCACGGTTGAGAAACACTGCCTTAGAGGGACTCACACTGTGCATTTCTGGAAGCCAGAGGACAGCCAAGGAAACCGTCCTCAAACTCACCTAGTCAATGCTTTACAGCCCTTCAACCAGTGCCCAACTCTTACAGGTAAAAGGAAGAAAAACACCTCTCCCCCAGCAAAGATCAAGACCTGGGAGATGTTTTAGCTACTCAGGCTAAGGATCTACGGGGTGGTGATTTGCCAGGCCATATTTCACCAAGTCCTATCAGCAGGCGATCTGCACAAGCCCTGCAAACATTGATGAAGATAAGCAAGCATGGACTTGACCAGGCTCTGTTGTGACTCCAAGGAAGCAATGCGAGCCCTGGATTTTATTCCCTAAATAGAGCAAAAAGGAAAAAAAATCACCCCCTACATTCCTGTATGTCACTGGCCCGGCCAGGCCTCCTTTCAGACCCTTTGAAAACCGTTCGATTTTGCTGTGTAAGAAGAATACCTTGGAGGCACGGAATGAGGAAAGGGGGTGATTCATTTGGGGAAGGCTAAAGCAGTGATTGGACAGGTCACATTCCCTGCACAGAAGGCAGAAATAGGGGTTTTTAAAAAAGAATTTTTAAGAAAAGGATATGGTGGACTAGTAACTTGATTAGGTTTGCAGCTTTGTTGTAGCCCTGCAGAAAAATGAGCAGAACGGGGTTGATTAAGCCACTGTGTCCTTACAGAACTGGGGGGCAAAAAAAAATCACTGCATGTTTCAGCCCCCAAAGCATTCAAATGGGTCAGAAGAATCGCTGGCCTGCAAAAAATCTCAGGAGCTCAAAAGAAAATGTCGAGGAAGAGGAAGAGGAGGAGGGCGGCGTTAATGATGGAGGAGGAGGATGCTCAATGCCGCAGCCAAGTACGTGTCCACAAAACGTTGCAGCCCAGCACTCGGCCAGGAGCAATCTTCTTCGCTAAGCCTCCAGGAAGTGACAGGGAAGGCTGGCTTACAAACAGGGTTGAGATAGCAGCCAACGGCCAGAAAAACCAACGGCCGGACGTTTCTGGGTTGACAAGGAGCTTTGCACAGAGGCCTGCAGATGTGCAAACAAGCGGTCCCTCGCCAGGCCACCAAGAGGCTCCTGTGCCAGGCTGTCAGTGGCTGACACGCAGCTGCGCCATCGTCATGCACCATCCAGAGGCCTTGTCTGGGTCCAAGGCTGGCTTTGGCTTCCTCCCTGCCCTGGGCCTTCCACACCCTCCTTTGCATCCGTGCTGATCCAGAGCGAGACTGCACGGGGTGAGCGAGGCAGTTCTGCTTAACCGGAGTCCCGTCCAGGTGTAACTGAGCAAGCATCCAGAGGAACGCCAGCCTGAGAAATATTCCATGGGCAATATTGTTCTGGTTTAACGCTTTCTATAAGGCAGCGTTTCTCAGCCTTGTCAGCTTTGAGATGGGTGGACCTCAACTCCCAGAATTCCCTAGCCAGCCTAGGCCTAGAAACTTACTCCGAAAAGAAGACAAACTTAACTTGTAGGTCTCCTGTGCAGGACCCGTTGAGAGAAGCCCTCTGGCTACATCCCATGTTCACAGCACTCAAAATTCAGAACGGGTCTGTTTTTCTTTATGATAAGCTCGGGAGAAGGAGGGCTTAAGTCTCCAAGTCTAGAGGGAGGGGGAATAAAAAGTTTGGGGATCAGGGAGAGGCTTGCTCACATTCCCAAAAGCCATTTGACTCATTCAGCTGAAGGACAGCCAGCTTCTATCAGCAAGAGCCGGTAGCCTTCCGGAGGGGGCTCTCTCAAGATCCCTTGGCTAGTTTGGCAATGCAAATGCTACTGCAAGTCAACACAGGCCCAGGAGCAGGAGAAGGCAGCTGGAGGTCTCTTCCAGACCCCTGAACGTGCAGCATGGCAGCGCCGCCCTCAAAGGCTGCCCGGGGCAAGGTGAGCCAGACGCCTTTGAAAGGCTCAGCCGCACTGGAGCCCCAGAGCCTCTCGGTGCTGCTGCTACGTGGGTGATCTGCGGGCCAAGGGACACACTCAGGAGTCACCTCCTTCCTTTCCAATCAAAGCTGGCCTGCTCCGAGGCATCGTCTCCTCCGCCTGGCCACATCTCCCCCACCCCAGTAGACTCCAGCCGCCAGCCAGCGTGGGAACCAGGTCACTTCAAACTCCCTTGCACAAATAACCCCCCCAGAAAAAAATCTGCAGGCTCAGCTAAGAGGCTCTGCAGATGCTCCAGTTGTAGAGAAGCACCTTCCCCCAAATTCTTTGGCACGAGGGATTTCTCTCGCTGCAAGAAGACTCCGCCGGACACCTCACACCGCCCAATTTCCACTACGTTCGGTTTTCCAGCGAGGCCCTTCCTCATCCCTGCAGCTAGAGTTCTTCTCGCTACCGAGACGCTGACGCTGAACTCTAGACGCAAAAATATGCTTCTCAGACAGAAAACTACTGCCAAAACTCACGGCTCGGTCAGGAACCAAGACTCCCAAAATAAGAGAGTGTGGCGTCTGGGCAGACCCCCTTGATTTACTGCAGCATGCTCTGCTGGGGGATGAGGTGATGGCAGTGGAACCAGAACAACTGGGGCAGCGCCACAAATGGGGATCC